CCCCGAGCCCCTAACCCTAAACCCCAAGACCCAAACTCTAAAGCGCTTAGCTCTGTAGGCCTTGACCCTTAACCCATGAAGCCCTAAACCCCTAACCTCAAAACCGTGTAGGAGTCCCGGGTTGCGCTCACCTGCATGAATTTGGGATACAGGTACTGTTATGTTGCATGCCAATCATCTGACATGGGCTATATAGTTGCCCAAATAGAGGCCTAGGGCTTGGGAATTTGCTAGGGCTGGGTTACCATCGGGTCCGAAATTCATGGACATGTCCATGGGCAATATAAACTGCTGAGTAATCCTGCCTCCAAACAACCTCTCACCATTGCAACGCCTGGTACAGGATTCTCCCGTTCGTCACAACAGAATATTTCGATTTTGTTGGTCCCTCCTTCCTTACATAGGTTTCCCCGCTGATTTCCTCTGAAACGGATTTTTCCTTAGTTGATTTCATTTGTTTCTTTTGATGTTTTGATCATCATTTGTTTTTCTTGATTCTTATTTGATTTTGTTGATGCACATCCCGCTCTGATGGCCGAGCAGCCCCCCAAGGCATGATTGTAATAAGGGGAGTCTTCTAGGACCCTAGACCCACCACATGATAAGCTAAGAAGTCAAGCAGTTCAAAATAGGAAGCCAGGAAGCTAATAAACCAGCAAGCCAAGAAGCCAGGCAAGAAGCCGAGAAGCCAGAAAGCCAAGAAAGCAAAAAGCCTAGAAGCCAGGAAGCCAAGAAGCCAAAAAGACAAAAAGCCAGGAAGCAAGCCAAGAGGTCAAGAAGCCAGAAGCCAAAAAGCCGAGAAGCCAGGAAGCCAAGAAGCCGAGAAGCCAAGAAGCCAGGAAGCCAGGAAGCCAGGAAGCCAAGAAGCCAAGAAGCCAAAGAGCCAAAGAGCCAAAGAGCCAAGAAGCCAAAAGCCGGATGTAGGGACGCTCCACGCAAGAGGGCGAGAGGTGGATATGTAGAAAACAAATGTAGGCACGCGCTCACACGAGAGTTGCCTTTCGAGACTAAAATGTAGCAACGCGCCACGCGAGAGCTCCATTTTGTGGTTGAAATGTGACGCTTCACACGAGAGCTCGAGTGGAGAGAAAATGCGAGGACGCTCCACGCGAGAGCCCTATTTCGCAGCCAAAGTGTAAAGACTCTTCACGCTAGAGCCAGCCTTAAAAAAAACAAATCCACCCAAAAAAAAGTCTCAAAAAATAGGCCCTCCGTGCATAATCCGTTGAAGCCAGACATGAGATTGCAGACATGAAGCTGACCTTCCGTGCATCTGAGAGCTCACACGCTTTGGTTCTTTCAGAGCTGGCATCTTCCATGCTGGCCGAAAGGTTGAAAGCCCCCAGAACAGGGATTTTGCATGGCAAATGGCTGAGCAACAAGGTAGTCATGGAAATAAGCACGTTTTGCAATGATGTTTGAGGCTGTAATGAACACACGATTCCGGCAGGAAACGGGAAGCGCCTCCCAGCCTTCTTGCGCATGACATGCTAGTTCAGGATTTGCAGGAACCCGCCTTCTCCCCTTGCTTTCAGCCCAATAGCACCCTATATCTTTGCCAAACTGAATTTGGAAGCGAATCCATGCTTGACTTTGATACCAGTATTCCTGTAACCCATTGTAATAGCACAGGAGCCCACTCCTTTGTATGCTTTGGTCATGGCCCTTCATTTGGATGACTCTCACTTTCAAACTATCAAAGAGGCGCTGCAAAAGGCTGAGGGCAGGCGGGGTCAACGCGATTCACTAGGCCTTCCAATGTCTGTGAAACCAAATTCTTGATTGAGCTGCCATGCTGTTCAGATTCAACGAGAATCACCCGACTTTCTCTAGCGGTGCAACCATTGCTAACCTGTACCGACATTCTCCATGTCCTCGCATGTGCTTCAAGGTGTTCAACGTCTAGAGTCCACGATCAGAAGGCTTCAGATTCCTGAGGTGGCTCAAATGCCAGCGATCTGTGCTCAGGTTTTGCGCCAAATGAGGGAATGAGACGGACAAGGTTCGACTATTCCAGCACATCCTCAAACATAAAATCCAGAAAGAAACTAATTAAGTGGAACAAATTGAGGTTGCGGAAAAGCCCTGCACTATCATTCCACAAACGGCGCACAGGCTCCTCCCGCCTTCTCCCATACACCGTCAGATGCAACGATAACAGCGCTTTGCGATGGGAGCCTGAATCTGCGCAGATCAATCTAGCTTCGGGGGGCAAAGCAAAATGGGGCGCTGAAAGGCAAGACGTGGCAAAGCATCACACCGGACGCATGTGTTGATCTCGGGCTCAGAGAGCACCCCGACGCTTCGGGCCTTCCCATGCACGATACAGAAAGAGATACCCTTGCAGGAACTGAGGGGACAAACCAGAACACGCACACCGTACCCTTTTCTCCTGCTGATGCTCCTTGAGCGAATTGTGAGCCTTTACTGTACATGGCTCAGAAGGACCTGTTGGGCGAGCCGCAGCTGTGGCAGCCTGGACCTGAAGGTCTCAGAAGCGATGGTAGCATAGGCAGACGCAACCACATCAAAAAACAAGGCATACAGAAGGCACTCGCAGTAAACGTTGGCATCATATGGAGCCAAGCGCACACATGCGTCATGTCCTCAGCGGCTGACTTTGTCTGCCTTTTCCGGGTTCACCTAAGCAAGTGCGGAATACTGGCTTCTTGCGGTGGCAATAAGAGCGGCGACCTCGCAAATACACAGTCCCTCGTTGCGCCTCGGTCTGGGTTGCAGGATGTTGATCCAATGCTAAGTTAAACTCGGAGAGGTCATCAAGAGTGCAAACCTGCACCAAATCGGGCATGGTCCGCCCCAGGTGGTTGAAACATGACTTCAGTCTGCAGCCACGCACAGCACTCGCACACTCATGCTTTGCCGCAATAGGCATGTTTGAAGAAAACCTGGGCTACATGGAAGAACGTGCTCATGGATGTCAGACGCCGAAATCTGGCAGCAAAAGCCGTCAAAACAACGAAAAAAACATAATAGCGGCTTCATGGACGGGGCTGGAGCGACTCGCGGGATTCAAAAGACTCTGCAGAGAGCCTCCACGCAGTTTGACGATGAAATCATACATTGAGGAAGTTCGCACCATAATGCTTTGCCAACGGGGGGGGTGGGGCGGGTCTGCGCGCCCCAAATAAGGCTTTTCTTGAAGCGCGCCCAGTTGAATGTGCTTGCAGCTGAAGATTCAGCAGAAATAGTTGGTGGTCGTGAATGAGGCAATGCCACTCTCGCGGAATGGCAGGGGGCTGCTTGCAAAGCCTTGACACATCTGCAAGGAACGCGAAGTGATGTCAGGACGTCAAGATGGCATATGATAAGAGATCAACCTGGAGAAGCCCTAAGCCAGCCTGAGCCCTACAACAACCTCCTTCCCATTTTGTCCTACAAGTAGTTGGTGTGGCAATAAGACTTCGAAGTTGAATCGAAACAATGGCAAAGTCCACCTTGATCATCCCACCTGCTAAATGCCCTGGCGGCATTACGGAGTCGTGAGGGGATGTGAGGGATGCGCATCAAAAAAGCAGCACAGACTAAAAAGAAGTGAAACAAGGACTTAAAGGAATCGTCTGGTCTTAAGGAGGGAGGCGAGGAGGAAGGAATTGTAAAGACGACGAAGAGCGAGCGCAGCAAGGAAAGGAGTGAAGGAAGGAAGTGCCCTGCTAGGGTTGCTTAGGGTGTGTTCAGTATGTTTCAGTGCTAGGCTTTCATGATTGAAAGTAAGTTTGTCTATGGCTTGGGGTTGTTTTGGTTTCTAGGGCTTAGGGTTGTTGGGGCTTGGTTGCTGTGCGGGGGAGGGGGAAGGGGGTTGGAGTCTAGGGCTCTTGAAGGTTTAGAATAAAAATTGCTTAGCAAGATTCGGGCTCAGAGCTTAAGCATCAGGATTCGAGGTCGTTTGAATGCTCCTGACCCTGGGTGTATATGGTTTAAGTTCAAGTTATCCTTCAAGTTTGAGTTCTAAGGCCGTTTGGGTTTGAGGGCGCAGGTTTGCTAAGCAATGACTTTGTTTGCTTCATCACCTGCTTTGCATGCATTCTTGCCCTTGCATTCTCGTGGCTCAAGTCCACGGTGAAAATTAGTTGCCCTTTGGAACATTGTTGAGGAGCTCGTTAATCAGCTTTCGCCTGCACTCATGCTTGCCAAGGAGAAATCAGGCTTCTTGGTGTCAAGCAGAGAGTTGAAGATTGCTTTGAGAAAAGAACCCTCCTGTAATGATTGTTGCCATCCCTCATTGTTGATGTGCTGCCAACACAAAGAACTAGAGCTTTGAAAGCGCATCGGAAGGTTTTCAAGCTGAGCCTGTTCGAACGCAATGCTAGGCAGAGGTTGTTTCGCACGAATGCGCCCTGCCTCTTCTCTTTTTTGGGTCATCAGCATCTTGGCATGGCGCCCACCAAGGTCACGCAACTGGCAGACTTGGCAGCCAAGGCTTCAGGTGCTTTTTTTGGACTCTGGCGTCACATGTAGAATTGTGTGCTCCGGAAGTTGAACTTTGGTTGTGGCTGTATTGCTGACATCCCCCGGACACTGGGTCGTTGCTACGGCTGTCATGACAAACGGTCTTGACGGGTTACAACGCCACTGTCAGGTGGCCATGGCTGAACCTGCTGCCCTGCTTGCCACGTTGCCTGACCTTGGCTACCGTGGCACTTAGATTTAATTTGCTTGATGCCTCACGGTACAAAGATGGCTGTTGGTTGTGATGATGATTTGTCAGCTGCCCTTGTTTGCAAGGAAACTGAAGAAATCCTTGATAGCCACTCTTGGCAGCGCGTTGCCAACAGTACTCATTTCATAGGGAACATGGGGTAAACTTCACCGTCCCGAAAAGCCTGATCAAAACAAATCGTAGTACCAATCAGCTCCGCCGCATTACTGCGCTCCACTTGGTGCTTCAAGGTCACTTGTAAAAAGATGCCGAATTGCATGCAACTTCGTTTTTCTGTGGGCCTGCCATGCATGAAACCCATTGGTTGTGGCATTGTTTTGAGAACAACATGTTGCCAGAACCTTGCCCTGCTGAGTGCAGGTATCGCAGCCAAGAAAACTGTCAATGCGGCCTGGTGCCATTCAGGTTGACGAACAACTTGGGCACCTTGGAGCTTCATCTTGAGGTTGAAGAGGTCTTCGATAATCTGCTAGCCCTTCATTTTCGTGGTTATGCAAGCGGAGGGCCACACACAGCTGGCCCAAGGAAAGGCAAAATTGCCTTCGCGCTTACTGCTGTGCATCTTGCTGCAATTGCGAACGAGTGGAAAATTTCAGCGCAACTTACCGACAATCTTGTTGGCAAAGCGCAGACTGTGCCAAGAGGACAGGCTTATGCTCTGTTGTTTTATTTGAGGGCCATGTAACATCCCTTCAAGTTTGTTAGTGATGCTGAGTACGTCTTCAACAGCGCCCGAAAGCTACGCAATGCTTTTGTCTGCAGGTTCAGCCATCCTGACTTGGGCGAATTCCAAATATGTTGTCTGCTGAGCGAACAGAGCGGCTGGAACTGCACAAGATCAAGTCACGTCTTGCAAAGGGCAGTGGCTCCAGGCCAATCCTGAGACTGAGTTGTGGCAGCGGATTGCTCATCACGAGACTGATACGTTGTGCACAACAAGGGCTGACAGCTTGATTGATCCTGCGGTTGCGCTGCATTGCAGGCTGAACATCTTTCTGTGAGGGCTAAACAAAGGCAGTGCCACCAGGGTGATCAACGGGTCCACGGTTCGACTAAGCAAGCTTGTATTGAAGCAGCTGTGTCTGGCTGTCATGGGAACTTTCAAGATCGGACGCGCGTGGGCTCGGAAGGGCTAGGGCCTCGAGTGCAGGAATTGCGCTTTACAGCTTAGAACCCAATACCCAATGCGAACGATGCAGAGCCTGTTTGAAACGCCATGTTTGGCGGCCAATCTTTTTTGTTGAGGAGCGCCTGGACTTTCACAGCAGTCATGTTGGCGCTTGATTGGAAAGCACTGGGAGTGCAGCCGATGTAGACGTAAGGGGCCCCTATGCAGGGAATAACACATGGAGCTGACCTTACACAAGGTGAGGTTTTCTGCAAAGCAATGATGTGATAAACTCAGGGTGCAGGCCTTCAGCAAGCAGCCAGGTTTTGGTAGCAGTTCAATTTCGGATAAATTCGGATAATACTCCAAAAAGAAGAGGTGCCACAGCATGCGTTGAAAGTTGGTCTCTTAAGTGGCTGGTCACTGTCACCATTTAAGGAGCGTTGGCCTGGCCGAAGCACATCAGATTGGACATGCTTGGCAATCATGCGCAGCCCAATAACATTTTTTGACAGGAAGCTTTGCCAAGATGATCATTGCCACTAGTTCCATTGCTACACTCGTACTAGCCTGTGCCTTTATTCTATCATCTTTGAAGATATGGAGTGACCAGGCGTGTAAGGACATGGGCAACCAAGCAGTTGAGAAAAAGTCTGTTAAGCAATCCGGGTCCGCTCTTGGCTTTGGCAGTCCCCGGCCTGGCGGCGCACCAGGCTCCAGTAGTATCCCTGTCGGGCCAGAAGCTCCTCAAGGCAGAACTCCACAATCATCTATGTCTGCAAAAGGCAGGCTCTAGTAAGTGGATATGCCTTGGGAGAACCACGCTCCACGATCTGCCCATCTCGCATGCAAACGATGCTGTGAGCATTGCGAATCGTACCTGACGCTGCACATCTCAAAATGCTTGGTTCTGATTAGAGTGATAAGAGCCAGGGCACTGAGGCGGTGCGCAATGACCAACGTGGTTCTTCCGACCATGACCGTGTCGAGCGCATCCTACCCACAGAAACAGCAACTGCGCGGTGTAAGCAGGACATGGCAGGACTTTGGTAGAAGCCGCCTGTACAGCCCCTTCAGCTTCTGCATCGAGAGCGCTAGTGGCCTCAAGTCTTGGGAATCGTAACAGGTTCAGAGACAGCTTCCAAGGCTCCCGACCTCGTCGAGCACCAAAATCTGCGGCTTCAGAATCACGGCTCTTGCAATGCTGAGCCGCTGCCTAGGAGACAGCTAGGAGACGGTTCTTGGTCTCTGTCAGCGTCATCTGCGGTTCGGACTTCTGGCCACCAGAGATATGAGCACCTTGATCTCCTCAAGTCACCCAGTTTATGAGAATTCACTGGACATGTGAAACGGGTGCGCAGATAGTTGAAGAAAAGCACCACGAGGGCGAAAGCTTGCTCAAAAATATGTACATAGAACGGTGTGGCCGGAAGGCACATTCTACTGGACAAAACTCACACGTAACAAGAAAGTGCCTAATTTCAAACCACTGAGCCTCCAACCTACGTAAGTGTCGTAGCCGGCCGGGAAGCCAAGTATAAAATCATGGGCTGAAGCCATGCGAGCAGCTGCCTGCTCAAAGCAACCCATTTCCGGCTGCCAAAACGTGCAAGAGGACACATGACGCATGAGCCACTGACGGATGCAAGGTCACGTTTATGTCATGGTAAGCGTGCTTGCGAGAATCCCGAACTTGCCCAGAGGAACAGGAAGGCTAAAGACTACATGGCCCTATCCCAACAGACAGGGCCCATGTCCGCAACTGTGACAGAAGGATATGGCATGTGTCCGTGCGAAATGCCGCGTACATGGACTTTGTGCCTTGGCTTTGTCCTAATAGGCCGCAGCGGTAGCTTATCAGAAGGGATTCACCTGTAGCCCTTTGCTAGTTGCGCGTCCTGCTAGCAGTTGAGACTCTAACCCATGGTGTCGAAGGCTGGGCAATCACCTTACATTCTGCCATCGCAGTCTCTCCAGGCCTCAATCTCTTCATCAGGGACATCCCTGCCATTGGCCACAATACAGCATGGCAATGCACTAAAATGATGAACGAGAAGTGGGTTAGGTTCCCGGGCAGCAACCTACATGTCTGAGACTAGCTTCAAATGTTCCAGCGACCTAACGCTGCGCAGGGAGGTCTCAGTGTTCCTCTGCAGTGTCCACGCCCTGTCCTATCCTCTACGCTCTTGATTTGCTGGGTCGGAATGGTCTTAGCAAAGCTTGGTCTTGGGGAGGGATGGGAGGGAGCCTTGCCCGATCTGTAAACTTGCACACTTCAGCGGTGGCTTTCCACATAAGTCGGTTGGAGTTGCATCCCCTTCAATGACTTAAGAGCTTGATAGGGATTCATGTTTTCATGTTGCGTGGCTATTGCAATCAACATCGATCAGATTGTCACTTGACGATTAGGATGCACGGATGGTGCCCTGAAGCAAAGAAACAAGCGCCTTCGGCAACCATAGGTAAGATTGTTGCGGATGCTCGTGTCAAAGAGCAAAGGCTGCTGCGCTACCTGGGAATTCACAGACAGGACAAGTCTGCTATACCGTGCGAATCCTTGTTGTGATCCCTCATGAGGTTGAACTAAGTAAGCTGTGTAAATCATGTGCACTAATCTCAGCACTGCTATCAATTGGATTTTTGGACGCCGTGTTGCGCCAGGAAGCAGTTGAAGAACAGCGAATGGGCAGGGTTTGTGTTGTTTCATCCGTTGAGGTTTTTGGCTTTGGATGGCTCCATTTGTGGCCGTCGTTTTGGCTTGACTTGACGTACATACTTGCTTCGAATAGGAACTCCACCGCTACGACCAAAAAAGCATGACAATGAGAATGCCGAACAGTCAGGCAGAAAATCAACATGAATCAAATCATGTCAATTTAGCAGAGAGTTGGCTTGGAGAGCTCTGGAGAGATGTGATGGATGACCATAGCCATCCCAAAGTGTAGAGAGACCGTCACGGCGCAGAGACATGGAGAAATATGCGTGGCTAGAGGCGGAATAAACAAATGCTGCGTAAACTACCTTCATATCGAAGCTCAGAAAATCCAATTTGGAGGCTGGGAACAGGGTCTAAAATTCAGTACAGCGACCAAGGCCATCTGCGAGTGGAGCGCGCATGTATCCCAGTCAGGAAGAGTCACCCCATCAATGAAGATTTCACCAACCTGAGTAAGGCCAGCTTTCCGCGTGTTCTTGGGAAAAACTTTTTCAAACAGGGCACTCAGTGGCTATGCCAGCTCTGCGCTTCCAAGACAAGGCTTGGACCAGTGGGTCATAATGACGGAAAACCAAGCTGGCAATTGTGCTCTTCCCGCTGCCAGATGCCCCAACCTGACCCGGAGCGCGGCATTTGACTTGTGAAATTCAGCAGATCCAATCACTTTGCGCTTTACACCACTGTGTCTATTTTCGGAAGATTCGCTCGAATGTACGTTTGGGAGGGAAGGGCTGCCATGAGCACTTCGGGAGTTCTCTGCAGAAATCTGAGGATGAAACCAGAGCGGTCATCTGGCCACGAACCATTTGGAAGCTAACTCCCCTGTACGAAAAGGGAGCAGTTCAGAGTTCAGAGTCCACTGCCAGGCGAACGCGTCACATGCCTCAGAACTTGAACATCAGGGCGCGCGGGGTATGCAAACCTGAGAGGCGAACCGCTGACAGGCCAGCAAGTACAAAAAACATGGTGGCATGCTCGTGACCCCTGCGAATTTTCACTAGCAAAAATGGTTCGGGGATTTGAAATGTGCAAAAACTGTGGGTTGTTTAGATTTCCATATCAAGGGCTTGTTTTGAACAGGGGCTGAAATATTGAGAGGGTCAACTTTTTGAGCGCTTCTATGGGTTTCGCTATGGTGGAAAACACATTCTGAAAGTGGAAAAATGAAACAATTGGGAAGAGTAGAAAAGCACGGTTGCTGCATGATGTTGAGGCTGCTGAAAAGTATATAGGCTTTGTGGAAAGTCAAGAGGGCTCCATCTATCTTCTGCCAAAAATGATGGATGTAGCATACCACAGCCACTAGCCACAACTCTCTACAGTCTACTCCTGGTATGAAACATGAAGCGAGGGCCCAAATACTACAAGTACCACGTGCTGAGGACTATTTGGAGTTTGAAACGTAAAGAGATGGCCCAAATGCTACTTGCTAAGGACGATTCTTGACTAAAAAGGGGGCCAAATACTACTTGGCAAGGACGATTCGGGGTTTGAAACATTCAGAGAGGGCCCAAATACTACTTGCTAAGGACGATTCGGGGTTTGAGATACTACCAGTACTTGCTGAGGGCGAATCAGGGTTTGAAACATTAAGAGAGGGCCCAAATACTACAAGTACCACCGGCTAAGGACTACTTGGGGTTCGAAACATTAAGAGAGGGCCCAGGTATACTTGCTAAGGATTATTTGGGGTCTGAAGCATAAAGAGAGGGCCTGGACGCACTTCTGAGCATGTCTGTACTAGTTGCACGAATGTTATCATCCTGTAGCATGGACGCACTTTGAACATGTCCGTACTAGTTGCACGACGCACTTCTGAACATGCGCGTGCGACTTCCTCTGCAGTGGTCCTGGAGCGCAGACTCTCAGGAAGCTCATCAAGACACAGTGCGCCAGGCACGGAGCGCAGTCGGCTGTCGGCTGCGCTACATGGCGACACCCCTGTGCCGCCTGAGCCAGAAACTTCCGTAGTGTCTGCACATGCTGATATGTCCCACGAACGCAGGGTGCTCGAGTGGAGGTGCCACGGATGTAATGAGGGCTGAGCTTCCGAAACAGGACTCTCCGAGAACGGTACATGCGCAAGAGCAGCACAATTCATAACCTTTCCTTGCCCCAAGCCAACTGTCAGTCCGAAGCCTTGGGCAAGCAGGACTGCCAGCCGGCTCAACCTATTTTTTGAAGAAGCTTTCGCAAACTTGAATGTTGAAAACCACAAAGAACTGCGACATCATGTGTTCATCTTAGAAACATCAAGCAAGATGGCTCGGAAGTTACAGAAGCTCATGTTGAAAGGCACTAGTAGAAGATTATACCTAGAACCTCAAATTCCTCCAAATCCAAATGCCGCAAAGGCCACATGCTTCTTGGGCGGCATGAGCATTGAGCAGTGCTGCATGTTCCCCTCTTCAGACCCTTCCAGGAATTGACGTCTAACAGGCTTCCACGCCGGACCCTTTCTCTTAGCTGGATGCCTCAAAACTTCTGAAACCTGTAACTGATTCTTGACAAAGAGGACCGCTGTCTGCGGTCCCATCCGAGACAAAGTCCCGTACTCCACTTCGCGGAACTCAATGTCTCCACCAACCTGCTTCTTTGGCCAAGCGCTCTCAATTGCTTATCGCGCTCTGCAAGTAACACAAGTGGATCTGCTGCCGAGTGCCGGCCTCAGCCGTGTGCGTACCGGACACGACTTGCGGCATGCGGTCCATGAACTCAAAGTGGTCTAGCAGAAGGTCATGACCTTAGCTGAGCATGCAACACTCGGTTGTTGTGTATCCGCCAATTACGCATGATCCTTCTCCACACGATTCTGCAGACTGAGTCGGGGGGCGGCGCTGTAACTCTAGGAACTGGTGGCGCACGCGCTGCACGAGGCCACCTACCTAGTGCCAAGCAGCTTACAGAAAAACAAGGATTGTAGCAGGAGGAAGGGAGGGGAGGGCCATGGTTTTGCCAGTGCGATTGCATTGCAGTCGTTCCCACATGCCTGCTGAATCAAGAGCAAGTACGCAGTCATGTCGCCAGCCGAAAAGTCGCGCCTTGCTGTTGGCCCTAGCTCCCTTTCCCTTGCTTCACAATCACATCCCAGAGTTCTAAGCCTGTCACTCCATCCACACCAAGCCACACCACAAGCAAAAGCAATAAACACCGCGCTGCGAGATGTCTGGAAGCAGGCGTGCAACTCCTGTGCTTGCTTGAGCTCAGCTGCACAATCGCCAAGGTGCCACCGAGACATAGCAGCAGCAGAGCGTACAAGAGCTCATGAAGGCCCTGAGGCTAGGTCCATGCTTGAATCCACGTAGCCTCGAGGACCAGTGGCTTCCATCTAGGGAGACGTCCTCCACACTATGAGAAAGACCGGTTCTGTTAAGCATTTATCGGTGGTTTACGCCTTCATCACATCCTTGGCTGCCAGCGAAACCAATGCAATGTGCTTGTCCTGGCAATCGTAGCATAGTTTCCAGCTCTGCAGGGGCATTGCAAGTGAGTTGCCTCTCTGCTGAAGCACTTCACAGTCCTAGCCGTGCACACATTGAGCACCAAGCTGCCAGAATAAAAATCCGAGTTGCCGGCTTGATCATAGAGACAGCTTCATGCACCACGTTGGACCTGTGTTGACCACTTGTATTCGAACAACACGCGGCAAGTCTACATGATGACATGTCTCGAACTGCAATGCAAAGCCCATCAAAGTACGCATGCTTGCCAAGACTGTCATCTACAGTCCACTGGCCAGTGATGGCAAGTGGCCTGCTTGTAGAAACCAGGTGTCCATTTGCATCAGGTAATTACTCGATTCAGCTTATTAAGGGCTGCACGACGTGGCATGCAAGCCGTCTTCTCTGCGAAGCTGCGCTCGGAGGCTTCCCTCCCAGCACCTTCATCTTTACCGTCATGCAGATGAGGTCCGCATGTTGCATTTCTGCACGCATTCAAAATGCAGAGCCTTCGGATGGCCTGCTCCATTGTGGGCAGTAAAACTGTATAAGTCAGCCTTTTTCAGAACATCCACTCCGGTAACAACGACTTCAATATGAAAAGAATGCATTGTCGGCCCCGAGCGTCATCAGGGGCGAAATTGCAAAGAGGAAAACCATCTGTGTGATAAGCTTCACCTGGGCAGGCCGGGCAGGGGAAAAACCTCTAAGCCAATCAGTCAAACCAAGAGCTCAAGAATGCTCCGTTGAGCTCCATCGAATGTTGAGGACAAAGCAGTATCTGCAGTCATCCCCCAGACCCACTCAGTGACCTCCGCCGAATGTTCATTGGGCCACATGGACTTGAACAAACCAACGGAATTTTGGCACCTCGCTGAGTGCCCGCAATTCCACTTTTCGCACCAGATCGCGCTGGCGCAATGTATCATAAAGAGCCTGTAAAAAGTTTCCAGCAAGACCGAAGAGCTCACTGCACAAAATTCAAGATGGCCATCGAACATGCCTGGTCTTGTGCGAGTAGATGCTCAAACATCGCAGCTCGCATCTCGTAGTTCTGCTTGTTGCGCATGGCCTACAAGGCTTGGTTGGCATTGAACAGCTTTACTCTAGATAGAGCTAGCGAACCAGCGCGCCACTTGAACCCGCAAGCCTTCTTGATACTATCACCGATCACCTGCATTTTGCATTCAGAGTTTGTGAATCCAACCTGGATCGCTCACATGCCAGAGCCACTCTGGCCACACCCTGCACCACTGCAGCCAGCATCAGGCCCAAGATCACTGAGCGCCTTGGTCAATTTGCTAGCGCTGAGCTACAGCACTGCAAGAACTTCCTCAACAGGCTCCTGGCGCCAGTGGAAGGCGCCCTGAGCATCCAAATGTCCAGGAGCACAAGAAATGCAGGAAATGCGATTCCCGCTCCACCTGGCAAAATCAAAAAGAAAGAGCTACAAGGGCAGCAAGCTTCTATGCTTGGCCTCGTGTTTATCTCCGTTCACAAGATTGAAGACGGCACCGGTGAGAACCTCTTTTTGTTGAAGTTTATTTTCTGGGAGGGCTCCTTTCCACGCACCTGAGACCAGAACTGGCTGCCATGCGTCACAAGCTGACCTCTGGCATATATCAGGGTTAGAGCACCCAGCCAAAACCACTTGTGGGCATCGCCCTGTTTCCGCTGCAAGTCAGGGGCAGCAGCTGTGCTGATCACAATACAGCTCTCACAGATCATCAATATTCGCTGTGGAGGAATCGCTTGTCGCTGTAGAGGAATCGCTTGTCTTCGAACGCTCTTGGCTCAGTAGTTCGCGCACTGGTTTTGGGGCGGCCGCGGTGAGTGCAAGATCTTTTCCAGCGTAGACTCAGGCGTGCCAACAGCAGGACCCAATTCGTAGGAAGCTATCGGATGCCAGGATTGTAGTCATGTTGGAATCAGTTACAAGCTCGGGACCAAATTGTTCAGAGTAGTTGCTGCCTGCCTGGCGGAACTGGATTCAACATAGTTACTGCCCTTAGGGTCGCGTTCTGACACTGCTCTGCTGAACGCTTTAAGAGCTTTTAGGTCAACTGACGATACATTGCATCTGCCAGGATCAGTGTAGGAGATACCCCTAAGCACCCTCACAAGAAATTTGGGTTGCATGTCTAGATGAGAACCAAGAGGGCCAGGGTTTCAGGGTTAGCTCAGGTGCAAAGGTTGTTCAGTAAAATATTAGAATATCTGAAAACATCATTTGAAATCCATAGGCGCCCCGCCACCCAAGGAAACGGTTCGGGCCGCAGAATTTCGCACAACTCAGCGCCCGCAGATCTTTCGGAGTTTCCTGAATGATTCCACAAAGCTTTTAACACTTGAGGACCCCCCACACTCACAGGGATTCAACATTTCTGGTTGTCTCGCTCTGCCACGCATCCAGCCTCCAGTTCCTGCATTGAACTGGCTCTGGAAGGTGCGTGTGACTTGCATGACGCCCCAGCTCCGGCAACCAACCAGTAATGTTGGAACTTGGGTTTGGGGATCGAAGAGCAGCTGCCTGCGGCTGCTGGGATTTTTACACGCCAAGCGTGACAAGTTCAGGATGCCCGCTCTTGTTTTTGCGCTCGCGCAGCTTCGTCTCATGGTCTCTCTTAGGCTCAAGCGCGTGACAATCGACAAGAAAGATTCCCTCACGCTCAGCTTCCTCTGGCTTGCTTTTGGGAAGCTTCGTTGTTTGACAGACTGGAAAGGTACCATTGCAATATCAATCAGCCTCAACCTCAACGAAGGAAAGGAGAGAGAGGACGCGGTTTACGCAGACACACGCCTTGCTCAAGACCTCTTTGGACACCCATGCTGCTTTCCTGTCTGAAAAATGATTTACCGGAACCGTCTAAGCTTTGAACCGTATGACGATGCAACAGCCGACCTGGGGCAGAGATTCGACAGCCATTCAATTAAAGCATTCGTCTTCTCAAATTTGCGGGCTGAGCGGCAGTAAGCGAGCTCCACATGTTCCTGGCATCGAAGCACAGCCGTGGCACCGTCTGAAGGTGAAGCGGAGCGAATGCGAAATGCAAAATGCAAGGTGCAATGCTGATCCCTTTTTTTCGCTCAGCTCTGATTCAAGGTCTCGTCAAAGGGGAATAACTCCTTCGCAAACCGTTCCTTGTTTGCCACGTAACCTCAGACAGCAGTCACCGTCATCACCCTCGCCACTGCAAATTCTCAACAGCGCCTTGAAAGCTTTGGCTTGCACGAGTAGCACTTGTGCAGCAGCATCCAGATCCTTCACACTTTGTCCCCTTTCCTTGCATCCATCCTTTTTGTTGCAACGGGATGTTGGCAACCTCTCCCGGCCCCAGGCTCAACGCGATCAGTGCGCTTGCAATACCATACTTCCGTCTCAAGTGCTCGCTTTGAGTTCTGATCTTAGCATCTGCCGAACAAATTGTCAGGTGAACTCCAGTTGTCGTCTCTCTTTATTGCCTTGCATTTCCCGTTTCGAGTCTGCAAGAGATTATGACAGGGATGTCCTAGCTTTTTTTTGAAATCTCAATGGGTCCACGGCTTGCACTCCTTGTTGAGAGTTTTGAGCTGGGGGCTCAGGGTTCAGGCGGGGAGGGGGAAGCGGCAGGCTTCAAATGGTTTCAGCGCTCGTAGAGCTTAATGGTTAACGGTATTCACAACGCTTTGGGTGTTTTTTGCTTTCGGAATTAAATCCCGGATTCAAGGTTTAGGACTTTGGCTTTGCGTTTAGGGTTCTAGAACTTTTATGCTTGCACAGGTTAAGGCCAAGGGTCACGCTGAAGCTTGGTTCGGAGCTTGGTTTAGGGATTCGAGATGGGCGTAATCTTTGGTTTTAGGGTGTAAGTGTAAGGCTTTTTTGGGGGGGAGAGGGGGGTGGGGACGGGGGGGCTGGGGGCGGGGGACGGGGGCGGGGAGGCGGACGGCAACTTTTCGGGCTTTCGGGATAAGCGCTGATCTGCGGCCTGCAACCGCAGGGCAGCAGGTTCGGCCTATTGTTCAAGGTCCCGGCGGACAAAGTTTCGGATTTTGCGGTAGAATCCATACTCCCCATCCTGGCATCAAGCTCAAACACTCAACACCCGATGAAACCCACACGCCGACACCCTTGCCTGCAGTCAAAGATATGTCCGCTGGCTAGATTTTCCCAACATCTCACTGGTTCTTAACTTCTACCAGCACCCCATTGCATTCTGATCCCTAAATCATGTTCAGACGTTGAGACTTCCTGGATCGTCTATGCCGACCCAGACCGTGTCAAACAAGACTGGTGACAGACAGGTTTGGCTAGGTTTGCTACTTTGCCATTGTTTGTTTTCACGTCCCGAGTTTGTATAGTTTCTTGACACGAAACGAGACGTGAACGCGCGTCATGAAGGACGAGCCCGTGCTTCTATGGTGCTGGCACAAGCCTCGACACGGTCTTTCAAAGCAGATCATCTCGGCATGCGTCAATACTCCTGAATTAATCGCAACACTTGGCTCACTTAGCATCCTCCGATGATCTCGCCAGGTTTCGGCCAGCAACAAGACAGGCCAACGAGCAGGCTCCAGATTCATCAACATGTGTCATGACAGCCAAGGTTTGTCAAAAGGCTGCAGAGTCTGCTGACCAAACGCACTCAAGCAAAACAGACCAAGCGCAAAACTGTCTTGGACTTGCCTCATCACAGCAGTACACCCAAGTGGTTCTGAAATCCAGAACATGAAGATTCCAGTGTTGAGATGTGTTGCTCGATCGTGCCGCTGCACAGAGCTCAAATCTGATGAGGAATGAAACCAGGATGCGAGAAAAACATCGAAAAGTTACACGGATGTCAGCTGCAAGGCAATGCCTCTCTATGGCGAAACGACGCTCAGCGGCCTTTATCAACTCGGGGATCAAACTGGCTGTGCCGCTAGCAGGCACGAATCCTGCGGACAACATACTTGGCCGGTGGAAGCCAAGAATGCAGCCATTGGATGGCAGCAGTCCCCAGCTCGTGCAAAGCACCAATTGCAACCAGCGACAGCCCATGAGCCTGTAGGGGAATTGGCGTTTAGGGTTGCAGGGCTGGGGCTCAGGGTTGAGGATTCAAGGCCTTGTAAAGCGGCGCGGTGGAGGGTTGTAGGGTGATGTGGGGTTGGTTTGGGGTCTCAAGGCCAAAGCTTTTTGGCTTCAGCCCTCATGGGCTAAGGGTGCGACAGTGTAGAGCAAAGGGCTCGCGGGTTTGAGGGGCTGGAACTTCAGGCTTCAGGGTTTCAAGGATTGGCAGTGGAGTTGTTCAGGTGTAAGGTTTTACTCACTACGTCTAAGACTGGGTGTCATCTTGGTGTTTTCTTGCTCGCTCTGTTGATGCTCGCGTGCTCAAGTTCATACTTGCATGCATACATGCTTGCGCGCATGCCTGCCTGCTCGCCTGCTGCGCAGGCCTCTATCTGGAATCGATAGATCGGGAGAAATAAAACCCCACAATGCAGCAACCTTAAGGTTCTGCGCCACGTTCCTACCACTCGATCTCATCATCGGCCCCTGTCTCGCCCTGCTTGTCGTCTTGTCGTCGCTGTCCGGCGACTTCTGCTGTGCTGAGATAAACCTTACGCAATGCTCGCATGGCCACAGCACACTGCTCGCCATGCTGCTTCGGGCCCAGGGAAATCCCTGAAGAGTGAGCTCCGCTTGCTCCCACAAAATCACAATTCTCAGCGTCGTCCTCGAGTTCCTCCCCTTATAGAATGGCATGCCCTCCATTTACTACATAGGTGGCATCTGCCCACAGAATAATGAACCGTCACCCGATTCAGCAACCTGCCCCAGCAAACAGCGAAGCAGAACCGCCTGCAGTTTTGCTCACGGATCTGTTTGCCAAGCGAACGGAAGTGGGCCCATCTCCAGGGGTCTTTGCTGAGTTGCATTCACGACCGACCCACGCTTCCAGGATGTCTCGCTTTTGCGAAGAAGCCAGGTCGGTTTCATTTGGCTTCTGTTCCAAGAATTTGAAGTGTGTGATCATTGTTGTGGTGCCGACAATTTGGTTCGGTTTGGTGTGTGCTAGGTAAAGGATAGCACTTGGCTGGGGGTTGAACAAGAAACTTTGGAAAGGCCCATAAAGCACTTGCCGACTTTGCTTCTGCACGACCGCCTCGTGTCATAAGGCAGAGATGCGCTACCCGTGCCTTTATCGAACAAATGGGGCAGGCTCTTTGTTGTTCTTTCACATGGGCTCAAGAGGGCAGGTCCTGCAAGTGGGCTAGGGCAAGTTGCTCACACACCCCTCTAACCGTTCAATCAGGAATCGGTGGATGCCGTGGGACAATCAGAGTCCAGACTCATTGCGCGTGATCACATCCCCATGTTTTTTCTGTGTGTGAGGTCACCATCCCTTGACGAGACCAGCCCGTCCTTGCCCCTCCTGCCCCAAAGAGCGAACCTCGCTTTAGAAGAGGTAAAATGCTCATACCCCATACCAAAATGAGGCAGGCAGATGCAGGCAGTGGCGACCTCTGAGTCCGCAGCTGCTCGCTGCATTCATAACTGCCGCCATCTTTGCTGGGTCTGTTTCCAAATCAGTTATCCTGCAGCGCTGGACACGTGCCACCAGCAGAGCTCTGCCGCTCAAGGTGCTGCTAACGCTAAGAGTTGATTGTGGCGGCAAGTCCAGTCTGCAAACCAAGTAGCCGCTTGGCAGGGTTTCCACCAATCAGCGAGTTGTCTGGAAAGCTTTTCCCTTCTCCAATGAAGCTGCCTTGCAGCCGGGACCAACAACCGCGAGCTGAAACTTGCGCACGTGAGTCGATGTCAGTGGTTACAAGGCAGGAAGAACTCCTGCCTGCCGCAACAAAACAGTTCTTCCCGATGACCTGGGCCATGAGTGCACTGGTCATAGTAATCCTAAATGAAAGCAACCACTCATCCTAAGGCCAACTGCAGGTAACCAAGAGCCATGCAGCATTGTCCAAGATAGTAGTCCTCATGCCGATGAGGCAATTTTCCCCAATGCGGCAGCCGTGTAGGCAGACCTTCGACCACATTGAATGGAACCCATGCAGCCCACCCAGCTAGGGACTGCTTGATCAACTTACTTCAAGCTTCATCAGCTGCAAGCGGCAATACCTTTAGTCCTTGCGCTGCTTGAGTGTACGAGATAACTGCAAGCAAGTATGAAGGTCTGTCAGAAACTCGTTGGCACTACTCAAACGAAAATAGCGAAATCAAAACGCGAGAACAACCGCGATAAAGGACTGCCTGACAGGCTTGCGTTAGAAAGCCAACAAGGCCTCTGCTTCCGTCTCTGCAAAAACCCTCGCGCGTTGCGCGCGCCTGGTGGCCAACCAAGCAATTTCTCCCCACAATCAGTGGTTTGCCGGGATCACAATGCAAGACTGAGTTGTCCTCCGGGCCAGCCATACGCTACAAGTGCAACCACTTGGAGTGCAGTACCGCAATCGCAGTTCATACATACGAAGGCTGGTCCGGTCCAAACATAGTAGCAGACACTCATGCCTGCATCACCCAAAACCTTTGCAAGCAGACATCTCCTGAATATCCGATCCTTCGCCAATGGTGATCACTTCATTATCTCCTCACAAACATTGGTACGTTGACAACAAGGGAGTTGCAGAAGTCAAAATCAATTGGCTGTGCCTCGAAGTGTGCAGTTAAACCAGATGCTCGCATCTTTTCTCAGAGTCACTGTCCCAATGACAGAGGCTCCAGGAGCCACATAGGCACCTTAATTGCCACATTCCCTTATGAGTGCAGCACCGACAAATTCACCGTGCAGGCAAATGGACTTTCGTGGATTTGTGGATGGCGATTTCCCAGAGACCAGATGCCAGGCTTATCTTCCAGCCTGTGCTCACATGGTCGACCTAGACATGCAACCACCAAACCAAAGTTGCCAACACAAACAGCACAGCTTCCCACAAAGGAGGCCTGCTTTGTAGCTGCTGTAAGCGCAACGCCACAGTTTTCAATGTCTTCTGGGTCTTCTTTCGCTTTTCCCGCTCCTCTGTGTGTGTGTGTGTTTAAGGTGTCCAAACTGAATGTCTGTGGGCACATCCCTCCTGAAGCACCAAGCGTGTCAAAGCTTCAAGTGTTGGCTGCTGGAGATCTACATCCTCCTCCTGCGTCTCCTCGTGTACTGGGCATCACACAGTCTCACCATCCCTTGCAAAAAAAGCACGGTTTGTGACAGGTTCTCCTCGCCGAGGTCGAGCTGCAGCTGCTGCAGCTCGCTCTTCCGAAGACTCCGCCAGCTTTCAACACCCGCGGCCTCTTGCCTGAGCACCAACAGGAGTCATGGCAAGTCTGTTGCCAGCAACCATTCAGCAAAGAAGCTCTTCAAGATCGTCGAAGTCCATCCAATGGCGCAACAGCAGAACAGGCGACACGAAGGTAATACTCAAGACATGCCGAGAAATCTGCTTGACATGAGCTTTTTCTGAAAGTGAACTTTGGCCCACATGAAATGGACTGAGCATGCACTGGCACATGATGTCTGCGGTGATTGAAGATCACAGCGGCGGAGCCACAAGTACGAAGCAACTGGACATGCCGCCCCTTCATGTGGCCTCCGCCAATCCAACAGGGACAGCACTCGCCACACCAAAGGTCCGGTCCTGTGCAATGCAATTCACTTGGAGAGGGCTTCCGAGGCCATCTGTACTGAAACGTTGTCTTCGGGCATCCTTCTCAGCCAGGCCAACATCCCCTTGACCGATGAGCTCTTCGTCGTCCACTTGCTGACGTTGAACTCGCCCGCATCTGCAGCTGCCTTTGAAATCAGCATCTGCAATGGAAGGCTACCACTGCAGGTCGGCCTTCTCGCACATGGCCAGCCTTTCTTGAGGCCCCCAAGCCCTTCCAGCAAGGCAAGTGAGCTGCTCCAAGCTGATGAACAAGGAAAGATCTACTTCCCCAACCTGATGCGCGTTCCGCGAGACACGTCAATGATCAGTCCAGCAGGCGCCAAATCTGCTGCCTTACGGTGTGCAGTCGGCACACCATCCTACATCCTATACAGCATTAAATACTCCTAAGATCTTTTACGAGCAGCGTATGCCGTAAGAGATTACCAAATGTGAATGCCTGCCACGCTCTCGTTCCCCTTGAATCTTGGGGCAACAGGATTTCATAGTTTTCTACAACACAAACGACATTCATTCGTATTGCGGAGCATCCAGCAGCCTTCGTTCTAGGATATCTCAGCTTATTTCTATGCTCGGGCAACGAGCATCTGGAGGCGACCAAACTTCATTCCAAGTGCCGAGCTGGGGCAGCGCATGCCCGGTCCTGAGGTAGCTGGACTGTTTGCAGCTTTTTCTGTGAGACTGATATTAACTGAGCTCAGATGCTGGCAGTGGGTAAGATTGGCCCCCGGCTTTGCCCGCATGCCTCACATCATGGTACGGCGGTACTGTGAGCACAGTACTGCTACTTTGCGGTCGCATGCGGTCGCCTGTTGAACGAGACCTTGCAGTTGCCTGCACCATCCGGCAGATGCCTCAGCATGCCAGCATCTGAGAACGTTGAGCAGAAGGGCCCCGTACAGCCTCTCGCAATTCTCTGAAGCCATCCAACCAGGGGTGGTCCTCCCAGCCCCAGTAAACTCCGCACGCGCAGCATCTTGCAGTTCCCACGTATCTTGTGTCCTCCATTTCTATCCGCACAGGACCCAGGATGAACACGCCTCCTAATGGAGCCTCTGGCAGAGCAAGGCATGCAAGACTCGCAATCATGAATGTAGCTGAGGAGCCAGCCCCATGCCGGCTAGCGAAGTTCATCGCTGCTTCTCGACTTGCGAAGCCCCTTGATTCAAGCCCTAAATCAATGCAGACTTGTGTTTTTTTTCATAGGTGGCCTCTTTTGGACAGCAGAGGCCCAGCCCTGCGCATGGTGCTTGTAGCAGATCTCACACAAGTCGTAGTCACAACCTGCTTCATAGCACAACCCGCGCATGTTTACACATGGACTGCATTAAAACCCCATGCCTTTTCCGAACTTGGGCAATCGTGTTTTCTTGTTATTGTTGTCGTTTTATGTAGGTTCTGGCTGGTCATTGTTGTTTCTTCTCCTTTTCTTGTGTCGGCACCCGTCCATACGTTCAAGGATGTTGGGGCTTGACTACTTAAAAGCTTAGCAGTGGGGTTCTACACAATGCCAAATGTTTACAAACCATCTTGTCTTCACCTGACCTCAGTTGACGACACAGTTTCAGAGGCCTCAACGTGCATCCATATGCCGTCATCAATTTGGACAAGCCCTGGGTACAGATCAGAAATTATCTTCCGTCACCTGGGCATCTCCTCGCGATGCTTGGGGCACGCTAGCGTGGCGGAGACTGAATCTGAGACTGTCAGATACTTACAAGAGGGATGAAAGGGGCCACAAGTCAGGCCACGTCTTCTGGTACTGGTTTCGAGGAGGTGGATCAAAACCCACAGCAAATTGAGATGGGTGCACAGTGGGACTACACGGGCAACGTAGCACCTCCACCAGCCTTTATTCAGTGCCCTGATTCGATGTGAAAAACTGTCAATCCAAGAGGTGCTTCAATGACGCTAGAGGGCTGGCGAATCTGAGCAGCCCACGATTTCACCGGTTGGGTTAAGCTGGTATAAGCTTGGACTGAATGCTTCTAAAAGCTCAGATGCTGGAAGGCTGCAGCACTCAAAGGCTTGTTGAGGGTCCAAGGTTGTCTCTGAAATTGTTCTTCCTTACTGCTTGAGTCGGACAAGACGCCCTAGCCATGTGCTGAGAAGCCCGCCTCCCCCACAGCGGGCAGCCGTGCCACGACGGGAACATTCATCGCAAATGTGACCAGTCTCAGGAATAACATGCTCCCCCAGAATGCGGCCTGGAAAACTGATCCGGGTGCTGATCTGAGGATGCAACCCTTGACCAGTCCTGCCCAGAAGCATTCACCACCACACGCGATTACTGCCTACTGCATGCATGCCAGCTTGCCCTGGCTCCTGTCGCATAATGTGCCCCTTCGGGCAGTGAACCTCTCGCACCCCGCTGGCTTCATTCTCCTGGTAGTCGTTGCATCACGACTCCAGGGTGTATACAATGCCTTTCATTGCCTGCGGTTGGGTCCAGTAAGCCATGAACATCTCCAGCTCCGTGCCCTTCAGTGTGCGTACAATACAATCACACCGAGAAGGCTAGAGTCTCACGAGTATGGCTGCAGCAAAGGACCAACCTCTGGCACGTGGCAGTCATCTTCGACAATGCCTGCAAACGATAACCGAGGCCCTATCATGCCTCATCTCAGCATACTTTGCTTGCACCAACCTCGGAGCTCGCCATCATGCAGATGCAACCGAGCAATGCATTTGCCAGGCCTGAAGCTCGATCAAACACTCTTGTACTACGCGGATGCAGCTCCGGCGAGCTGCTTTGACTTGAAGCACACCATGTCTTCCTCCTTCACGCGGCACATCATGGCACAGCCCGAGTTGAGCTTGCAACAGGCCTCGCCACTGCCCCAGCCAGCCACATGGCGGAAGATCTTACCCTTGTTCGTGCGAAACTCCAAAGATGATCCTTCAAGCAGAAGATTGGCAGAACTACCTCTGTCGTGAATTTGTTCGCACTGATCAGCGCCTACATACCACCATTGCGGAAGGCTTTCGTGCCGAACCTTATGGCTAGCCATGGCAGTCGACTGCAACAGCTAGCTGTTCCCTCTGCTGAACCTCCTCTATGTACTCATCTTCAGCAAGGATGAGCGGGGGAATGCCCTGCAAGCAGCAACTTCAAAAGACACGCAGGTTGGACAAACTTTGGGATATGCCGCCGCTAGCCACGTTCTGACGTTCTGGGTCCCTGGGTGCCTTGTCGCCGCCAGGTCCGCCCAGCGACCACTTGGATCCATCCTCAGCAAACTCAATGTGCAATGGTTTGTGTGATTACTCGCAGTCGAAGCTGCACAATGAAAACTTCCTTTAGCACCACGTCATCTGTAGGCAAAGATGAAATCCAGCCGCCCTATCTTGCAAGCGCAGCAATAAGTAAGAATCGCCTGTAAGCATCGACAGTCCCAACTTTCCCCTCCACCTGAAGACTCAAGAGAATGCGCACTTGCTTGAATGTTGTGACTGCGGCACAACGATAGCGCTCGGATATATTCATAAGTCTTCATTAGACACAGCCGAAGCGCATGAGACCAATCAGTCACCAAAACCTGGGGGATTGGTATGAATTCACGCGTCGTTTGCCCCGGCACTACCGCCACCAAGTCAAACAAAAACCCAAGATCAGGATGCGAATCTTGCTCCAAAGTGAAGGACACAAGCCCCGATAAACGAAACAAACACAACAGCATTTGCCAAAATGAAAGTGTACCTCGCCATGTTCTGCTACAGACATGTCTTAACTTGCCACCGAGCACTCACGTGATAGTCGTCTTAGCTTCAAGCAATGTACTGGAACTCCACACGGTCAATGGCTCCGCCAGCGGTAATCTTTACCGATGCAACTCTCCTGGCAAAAAAGAATAGAACAAACCTACAGGACAAATCACTGCCTGAGTGTCCTGGGTGGTGTCGTTGACTCCGGCCTGGTGTCTGCTGTGCTGACCTGGACGACAAAGCATTTCCAGGACTGCGCAAACTGCGCTCGAAGGCTCAGCGTCTGGGAATGTGGTGTGTTGCTTTCATCTGAGCTAGGCATTTCGTGCACCCTGGTTCTTTCAATCAAGTGGTGGCTGACCCGAGCACCGCTGTGTCTTCGCATGCGCGCCAGCTGTGCTGGTGCACAAATTGTCACATCAATGCGGCGTCAGCTTTGCCATGCAGAGGAAGTCTTGATGCAGACTTTACAAGTGGCTCAACCTTATCCAGCAAATCCCTGAGCCAAGGTTTGGCAGCCAGGAAGAGCCATAGTGTGCAAAGTTCCACAACCTAGGAGAAGGGCCCCAGAGAATTCCAAACGCGTCCAGCATGTGTGTGTGGCAAGATGCAGCAGAAAGTGATCAGAAATCCTTTCTTGTCCGCCTTTCCGTATGGTGTTGAGCGCAAGGCAACAAAACATGTACTCGTACCTTTCCTGCAAGAGCCTCACCTTGCGTGGAGAAGGATTGGCGTGATTTCTCCAAACCGAAAAAACTTGGACATGGTTGGACATGGATGCGATCCATTCAGGCATGCATTTGGCCATCTACGTGCCTGCGTGTCTGTTGCCATGCTCAGGGTTTTGGTTCTGCATGGGTTAAGTAACTGTTGAAAAATTCTATACCCAAGAGGAAGACATACATCTGCATTGGAGCTCGAGTATCGCCATAAACAAAAAACACTCAAATGACGGTGACTGTCGACGTGAAAGCAAGCATTAACATGTAATTGCATTGCTTTCGTGTGAATGCCGGTGCGTCTGGACTGACAGACAAAAACCAGAAAAAGGGCAGCAAGCAAGAATAAGGTATTTCTCGCGTTCTGCGAACGTTGGGACTTGCTCACGTCATCCAGAAATGTGATCACTTCAGACTGTGTCAGGTTCACATGCTGATCTTGGCATGCACTCGCTGTCCCGCAGTATACATATAGCTGTTTCTCACACCACTGAGTCTGTGGTGGCGTACCAGAATCACGTTGGCACACGGCGCGTTCTGCGAAGATTCGCCTGTTTGCGCACCTATGCTTCGAAAGCCCTGCAGCATCATGTCGGTATATGTCGGTGCTTAATGCTGCGGTGGTTCCCCTTGAAAACTGCTCCTTGAGGAGCCCAGCTGAGAGAACATCCCCGGTAAACACAGGTTCCACAAGTCCTTGCAGATTGCTGGCACCCCATTTGCATCACTGCTTCAAACATTTACCCTGAAAAACCTTCCGCCTTGCTACTGGCAATCAGCCAAGTCAACAGCGGGCTCTGCTGGACTATAACGGCACATACACGTACTCATGCGTTGCATATCTTGCCTGCTCATGCTTCAGGAAACGGCGACATTTTTATGATTTCGCGCGCAAGAGTGCTCTTTTCCAAGAGCATAACCCTGATGCCGCTGAACTTCCAAGGGCATAAGCCCAATGACGTTCATGTTCCAGGAGCATACAGTGATGACCGGAGCATCCATGCCCAAAGCACAATTGCGTCCGTGTTCCAAGAGCACCTGCTAACCAGAGCATGCAATCTCAAAGCATACTAACGTTCGTGTTCCGAGAGCATACAGTGATGACCAGACCATCCATGCCCAAAGCGTAGTAGCGTTCGTTTCTTTGGAGCACCCGCTAACCAGACCATTCATGCCCCAAGTAAGATAACGTTCGTGTTTCAAGAGCACCCGCTACCAAGAGCACCCGCTAACCAGAGCATCCATATCCACAGCATCATAACATTTGTTTTCCAAGACCACCCTCTAACTCGAGCATCCATGCCCGCAGAATAAAAACTTGTTCGTATTCCAAGAGCATACGATGACCAGAGCATCCATGCCAAAAGTATGATAACGTTCGTTTTCCAAGGGCACAAGAGCATCCATGCCCCAAGAAAGATAAAGTTCGCGTTTCAAGAGCACCCGCTTACGAGAGCACCTGCTAACTAGAGCATCCACACCCACAGCATGATAACCTTCGTTTTCCAAGAGCACCGGCTAACCCGAGCATCCATGCCCACAGAATAAAAACTTGTTCGTGTTCAAAGAGATTCCAAGAGCATACGGTGACCAGACCATCCATGCCAAAAGTATGATAACGTTCGTTTTCCAAGAGCACCAGAGCATCCATGCCCCAAGAAAGATGACGTTCGTGTTTCAAGAGCACCCGCTTACGAGAGCATCCATTCCCAAAGCTGAGGGTTCCCCAGACGTTGTCCAGTAGACGACATGTCCTAGGCCAGCCGCATGAAGTACCTGCACCAGACACTCTGTCGCAGGAGCGTTGGAGTGTCGCACCTTTTGGATAAGCTCGGGGAGCTCGCCAGAGATGCCTAGAAAAAGCGCACACAAAGCCTGCGAGGTCCTCCAGGATTAGGACTTCCCTTAGAGCCAGCACGATTGCTGGCTTTCTTGCTGCAAAATTGGGACCCCCGTATCAAAATCCCCTTCAAAATCGTATTAAATGCACCATGAAAAGCCAAAAATAGAATTCTGAACCACAGCTCTTTGCACTTTCAACACTTCTCTACTGCCTGCAATATCACGAAATGCGCAAAATTTCCAAAAATTGTTGCGTTCGAAACTTTTAAGCTGTGATGCCATGCTGCTTACTCGCACGGCCCCTCAGGGGCGCCGTAACCATGTTTCAGTGTTGCGCGATGTGTGTCCCGTGGTCGTTCGCAGGCCGCAACTCACTTTCTAAAACGAGTTGGTTGGAAGAGATCCCTTGCTGTGTTGCGTAGGCATTTGGGACCTGTAACAAATGACAGACATGAAGGAAGTGCGGACATTGCGGACGAAGCATACGAAACAGGTTGACAATCCTGAGGCTATCTGACGCTCAACGAGAACGACATCTGAGACCAAAGACAGCAGATGCGACCCCCGTCCTTCCAAAGAGAGGTTTCATGGGCCAACCAAATTTTTCTGAAGGGCAAGTGTGGGCTTTGAGACTGCAACAGGTTCATGAAGTTGCATGTCGCATAGTCCCCTCAACAAACGAATTCAATCGAGTGAGGTCATGCCTGGCCAGGCTGCTCACCGGGACCTGATCTCTGAAAAAAGGCTACCAGACTCTCCGAAGGCACGTCTGTCTTTCATGCACATGCCCCTTCTGCCTTCAGTAGCTTCATGGGGCGGATCTCCGCCCGTGTCCAGCTCTGAAGGCCTCATTGATTGAACTTACATTTGTGCAGCATCCTGCCTTGAAAGAACTGGGCAACTGGCAAGAGTTTGCTCGATTTGGATCCAGCAATGCTATTGAGTTCCATGGAGGCATGACCCTTGCAGCTTCTTCCAGCCAGTATTTGCCCAATCACATCTTACCTGCGTGTTATTGCCTACCTGCAAAAAGGTGGTTACCTTAACTTGTGAGTTGTGACACGTCCGGGACAAATTGTCTTGTGACAATCCATAACAGCTTCCCACAGCTAAGAGCCATCAGTGAGGCAGCTGTGCATTCCGTCAGGATGAAGATCTGCCTGCGGCATCTACGACTCACTAGTCACTAGAACTCGCCTGCAGGTCTCCGAGAGCCCGTGACATTGCCAGGCCGGGGACATCAGCACCTCTCGATCATTCATGAGGTTGACTTGAAGACACTTTGGACTCTGTTGCCACGCTTCCTTGATTCAGGACCTGCGCAGCCCCAACACCCCAAGGTTTGCGCCTTTCAGGAAAACACGGCGCGCATCTATCCCAGATACCAACATCTGCCGTACCTGGCAAGATTGCTCCTGACACCTTTTCACCTCCAATCGAATATCCAATCGGCTCAAGCACCTCGCCACCAGCTCCTATGATGCGGCCTGTTTCAAGCTGACCCGCGAACTGAACATGAAGCGCCTCCTCTTGATGCAAATGAGGCTGGTACGCTCAGCAACATCATCAATATCATGATCCACTGTCTCGAAGAGCACCTGCAAAGTAGCCCCGCAAATGAATTCACGAGCTCAACAGTGCCAAATGACCTTCTGGTTGTGGCAAATGACCATCCGTGAGTCGCCAGCATATGCGCAAATTACCACGCCGGCCTTGGCAAGAAACTATTGCCCATGCAGCTGCAAAAAAACATCCCGGCCTCAGCATCAACCAAGGCCAAAGTAGCCGTCGTGCCTTAGCGTGGCCACTGCAGTAGCAAGTCAACATCATGGGCTGAGGGTGCGGTCAGCTGCCGCATACAACACTGCAGCTTCATGCACGAGATGCTTTCGAGATGCATGCCAGGACTGATGGCATTCTCACTGACTTCCAGAACACTAGCTACAGAGCACTTACACAGCCTTTGTACACCACTCCGCAAGCCCTTTCGGAATGGGTGTGCCAACACGCCTGGTGCGACGTCCCAAGCGTCACTGTGTGTACTACTTCGGTGAGATTTCCATTGGGAATGAAGCATCACAGTTCGGGCGAACCAGCTTGGAGCAGTCCCCTTACCATACCATGAGCTTTCGGAGGGCATGCTAGGTATCATGGGCATAGCACCGTAGTTGTCCTTTTGGGAAGGGTGAGTGTCAGGACTTGCTTTGGAGCGAAACATAGGATTCGCAGCGGATTGATACTTTACATGTCTCGTGCAACGGTTCACTCGGGCAGCAGGGAAGTGTTCTGCCTTCCCAAAACTGTTGTGACAGACTGCTGACAACCTGACAGTTCTGAATCACCCCACATCACAGTCCTGGCGGCGATCTCAAAACATGCCAGATCATATGTCTTACTTACCTGGTTGTACGTAGGTCATGACAAGCCCACTGCTTGCAGCATTGGTCAAAGTCCTTCATGTGCAGAAAAAGTGCGCATCGCGCATGTTTAGCAAACCTGAATCAGGAAGAAGCCTTGCATTTGGTCACAGCAAGGGGCCTTTACATTTCACAGCGCAGGTGAAGCACATCAGCCAAGGGAGGCGACTGGCAAATCAACATGTTCACGACTGGGTTCTGTGCCAGACCACTCGGCAAGCCCTCCGCGCTCCAGGCCATCTTGCCTGACTACTCAAGCTACTAACACGTCTTTGCGAGCGTTGCGAATGCTGTACTTGGGAAACACGTGGCAGCCGTGCGCGACGGCAAAGAGATGGGCCTCGCAGGAAGAGAGGCCAGAAAGAGAGCTCGCGTGCCTTCGGCTCGTGACTTTGTGAGATTTTTCGTTGAAGGCTGGGTTGGAGACCATTTGCCGAGGCACCGATGCCGACGGATTCACACGCTGATCCTACAAGTCATCGGCTCGGCAATCTCAACGCGACATCGCTGACGCTGCTTTATCCTCGGCCATCTTGGCCACGGCATCACTAAAATGCGTGAACAGCATGGCAACGGAAGACGAGATCTCGTGTCCTTCGATGTACAGCCAAAGATGCCAACGCAGATTCGTAGGGACTCTCGAACATGGTACTGCCTTGCTCGCCATGGCCATCAAACACGCCAAGCAGCATCCTGATGGGAGAAGGGTTGCACATGCAACAGCCTGTACTGCCCCAGGTCTAGAACAGGTGTCCTCGAGCATGCCAATGGAATGGCTATGCTTGCATCCTGCAAATATCAAGGAGCACAAAGTGTAGTACAACGACTGACACAGACAGGTGGTACGCAGCTCTGTGTCACCCTGGGTATTATTCTCCTGTGCTCGGTGACGTCGGGATGCGAGCGCGATAGCCGGGTGTGTAAGCTGGCATCAATATTGCTTGTCCGTGACAATGGAGGAATTAATTTAACGTGCCATGTATCGTTTTGCAATGGTTTGAACATCTTTCCCCTCATTGAACAACCTCCTTTACTACTTATACTACTTTATCGTAGCAGTAATTTTGACCCCGGCACATGTGGATAGAAGCCTTTGCACAGATACATACCTGAGAGGCTTTTTTGCGCTTTTTGTCCGTTTCCTTTCTTTGTGACGTCGTCCTTAAAGAGATTTCAGAAGACTTTCGGTAGAAACCTTGCTCAGCCTTCCCTGCTTGCTCACAAGCCTGGCCCCTGCGAGCATGCACCAGCACTTGTTTGGTCACGTTCATAGTTGTGGGCAGAGGGGTTTGGGCTTGGTTTGGGCTTGCAGCTCCCAGGTGGGGGCCCCGTTTTGGGCCAGTTTGGGATCCAGGGCGCACAGGTAGGTATTTGGGAGTTGTCCAATATTCCTTTAC